TCCAGACAATGAAACTCATTTGACTAATAGAGGCATTTACTCTAGGAGTATTGCTCATCGCCCCGGTCTGTTTAAAAATCAAAACTTCCATACAGAAACAGTGAGAATATTATAAAGAATTTATATGCAGAACTTTTTGCACATTACATTAGAAGAGTGATGGCTAACCTTTTCCGGACCGAGTGCACAAAGCATGCCACACATGCGCGAACGTATGTGCACGTGCCCGAACCCTCAAAGTGCAATGCGTGTGCGGGCCCTACGCAGGTGCCCCGCCCCCTGCGCATGTGCAAGTGACCCCCTGCATGCACCCCACACCCATGCATGCGCGCACACACCCTTGCATGTGCCCATAAGCATGTGCCCCTACACACATGCATGCACATTCCCCACCCCACACGCATGCTTGGCAGAGATCCAAAGACCAGCTGGCTGGCGAGAGGCACGCGCTCATGTGCATTGGACCTGAACTTGGGTGACGGCTCGTGTGCCATATGTTCACCATCACGGAGTTAGAACCTCAACCATAAGATTGCAAATCCCAGTGAGGAATTAATGCACTTTAACTGTAATTACTACAAATCTATAGAGGTTAAACTGGGACTACGTCCTATTGACTTTTTTATAGTTGAAGAATTGGACTGCTATGATTTTAGTGAAAGCTTAATGTCATTTGTCAAGCTTGTATCCCCCAAAATACTTCAATATTTCAAATCATAAAATCATAAAACCATTCTAAGTTGGGTTCATGAAGGTTGTTATAACAAGTTTATCCGTCCTAAGATATTATCCAATGAAGAGTCATAAATTCACTAATATTAAGTGTCTAGAAATAAACCCTCTACTTTGATAATGTTATCATGGTGTGTGAAAAACAATTATATTTTATATGCATGTACATTCTAGGGTACACTAAGGTCTAAAACAGGATAAATTTATTTCCTCTTTCTCAAACTTCCTTGAACAAGTTATCAGCAGAGCAATAAGTAAATACCTCTGGATACACAAATCAACTCTCTTCAGAGCTTTTCCCCCATCTGGAAAAGAAGCAAAGCAGTGCTAAACTTCCATCCTGAGAAAGATTTACTCAACTTAGGTCTTTCTTGGAAGCAAGAGTCAGAAGTAAGGACTGGGTTCATCCCTATGCTAAACCAAGATGTGGTATGTGTCTTAGCACATTGCATGAACTCAGCCAATTTTAGCTTATTCAATAATCTATGATTAATCAAATGAGCTCAACCAGTGAAGATCTCCCACCTTTGATGTCTCTCAGCTGGTTCTGTCCAGGCCATTAACTCTGCAACAGAGTTATCTGTTGCAGGGACTATTGATTGATAGGGACAAACTTCCTGCATCTTTCATAATTTCAGCTCAATATACCTTATCAATAGGCTATACTTGTTGAAATAGCCTTGCTGACAATTATTCAAGATGTAGGAGCTTTGTGCCATTTTGATTTCAAATGTCTGTTATTGCGCCCTAGAAATGGTAATAATACTTCAGCTTCAAATGCTATGTTTAAGCATATACAGTATAAGCCACTATCTATGGAGAGCAAGCAGTGCAAGACAAGATATTCATATACAATAAATAAACAATAAATAAGAGTTGATTTACCATATTGTACTAATGTGGACACAGCAGTAGAGATAGTAGACAGAATGCATTTCTTGTCACCATCATGCCATAATTTCCCCTTAACACCCTTGCAATCACTATCCTTCCAGATGGCACCCCGTGGCTGAAGAAAATATTCCTCCTTTGCATTACGAAAAAGTACATGAGATTGATTACTGATTACAGACCTGGCTGGCAAAACTCTACGGTATATATGCACTAGCTGGCAATAAAAAGATGCCCCCCAAAAATTGAATTTTTGCCTTCTGTTGGATTCTTACAGCCCTGGTTTGGTAGCTCTAGGAAAGACATATCCTGATCGAAGTTCCTATGGATCATTCCCACAATTTCCTTGAAAACCTAGATTTTTAAAGAACACGGAACCAAAAAAAATGAGCTGAGTGCACAAACCAAGGAAAGCTCCAGAAAACCACTAAAGTTAAAGTTAACACCTTTACCAATGATAAATAATTTGTACCTGCACAATTTTATTTATTCATATCAGATTCCATTTTCCAGGAATTATTAAGTATGCTGTTATCTTATACATATCAAAAGCTGTAATCCAACTTTTAAACTCCGCAGAACTATAATGCCATATTTGAATGTCAGGCATGCACACTGATTGTACATGTGTGTACGAGATTTGATTAATGATATTAATCATGATATTTGGTTAAGAAAGGAAATACACAAGAAAGACTTGAAACCTTCTTTTAGTTCAACCATTACTTTTGAGATTTCCTGCTTTTTTATTGACTGTGTGTATCACACTGTAGATGTGATAATGCTGCTCATGCAACCTATGGAATATCAAACTGAAATCCAATAGTAGTTTCCATTCTACCAGGTAACAACCAAGAGGAAAGGGATAACAACCATTCCAATGTTCTGAGTATTTGCTATGAGAGCATAAGAAGGAATAATCTTTTCACAATTAGTAAGTCTCTAACTAATGTTTGTTTTTGTTCTATAATCCTGTATTGTAACACTTAACCTTAAATCCCCTGAATCCCATGATATTAAATGTTATTCAAAAGTAAATTATTAGAAAGCAAGTGTGGTGAAGTTAATTGCTCATGACATACAGTCCAGCATCTTATAGTGGTCACATAGAAACCTCTAGGAAGCCCATAAAGTAGAGTTCAGAGATGATAATCTTTCACTAGCTCAGAAGCATAAGATTTGGCAACTATATATAGCCATGGGCTGTAGACATGTATAGCAGGGTTGTTTTTTTTAATAAGCAGTCATCACTCCATCATCATACATTCACTATTCATTATGCATGTTTTGAGGAAAGAGAAAAGAGTCATATATTTATGGGTCAAATAATTATGGCTTTGAGATCACTTTCTTCCATCTCAACTTCACAGTGATGTTGTGAAGATACCATTAAGAGTTATAATCTAAGCTTGAATATAGTAGAAGGATGTGGAGCTGAGGATCTTACAAAACAGCCACCTTAAATCTAGTATTCTTGAGATGTATAATGGAGTGTTCCAGAATCTGAAACAGACTTTGACTATGTTGGCAGAGAAGTTTGAGCAATGGAGTTCCAACACCTCTCAAGGACATGAAGGCAGGGAAGACAACATTACAGGTATGATATTTCCTGCATTCTTCTTTTTCTGGGTTTTCTGTAATTTTGTATCAAGCTGCCCTGTAAATCAGGTGATATAGATAATTAATTATGTTTACAGGGGAACAAGTGTGTACCTATTTCCTCTTATCTCTCTGGAAACAATTAATCAGACTTCTGCTTTCATTGATAAACCAAACAAGTATGATTTCTGGGCACTGAGATAAGTTTGTAATATTAATGATACTTATGGATGAAAAATTACTGACACTCTTGCACTCCTCATATGAAAAAAAAATACCCATATATCAAAATTATTTTCCCAGGGCTAAATGTAAATTCTTGGGAACTTGTCAATGACACCTCCATCTTTTTCTCTTCCTGCTTTACCTTTCTGTTTCTGTTTCCAATTCTTCTCCTTCCCCTGCTCTTTCTCAGCAGCTGGATATCAAAGCAACAAAGCAGAGTATTGCTGTGACCATTTCTGCCAATATTTGTAGGACAGGTAGTGCTGACTGGATTGTAGCTTATCTCCCAATACTAGCATCTGAGTGTACAGAATTGCTGTGAAGTCATTATACAGTCTAGGTTGTCTGCTAATCCTCACCACTCACTAACCACTAACTTGTAATGCTCACTTCTATGCTCCCACCAGCCAATCTTCACCAAAATCCAGCTTTAGGTATGCAATCTCCCTTATGTTACTACCTGAAGAACTGCCACTGTGTGGAAAGTGAACAGATCACTGCATTCCACTTTTCTATTTCTCTCAGGAAAATGCTAATATAATAATTCTGCAGTAAAAAAGCAGAGGTAAGCAAAGGGCAGCCCTGCAGATGCTATTTTACTGCAATTTTCATCATCTCCCAACATTAGCGCTAGTGTCTATGACATTAGCTCTCCCAACAGGAGCTGGAATCTAGTCATAGTACATTTCTTTAAAATTATTTTTTTAAAGGACCATGACAGGCATACAAATAGGTTTTTATTTTGGAACTCTACTCTAATGAGCTCGTTTAAAACTATAGCCTTGTGTGATTTGTATGCCTGCCCATCTATATGTATAAGTCTGTACTAGTGCGGAAGTGGGAGAACTGAAACTGCTCAATTTCAATCTCTTCCCTCAATTCAGGGAGTTCAGAATCAATTGCCACTTTTGAGGAGGTCTTTCTTTTGCTTTCATTCTACCTCTTTTATCTCATTCTTTTCTAATATAAAACCTGGAAGCAAGAAAGGAAGTGCTTTCCCCTGGACATCCCATCTTCAAAGCCTGACTTGTGGGAGTTCAGGAGATTGCACAATGAGTCCCATTGTCCTTGACTGATGCAGATTGCCCATCAAGAAGACAGATAGACTGGCAGGAGACACTGTCCAGTCCATCAGGAAATCATAGAACAGGTCAACAAAAGCAATTCCTCAATTGGCAACCCTCTCAAAAGTCCCAACTTTGGAAACAGAGTGATGGTTGGGGGTTGGGGGGGAGAGCCCACTGGACTCTGAATGTAATGTATTGTCTAAGAGTGGCCACCTAGGTCAAAGGGATCAAACAACCTGATTCTAAAGGGAGGGGAGACATATAGAGAAATTGGGGGGTGGAGGGAGCTGTCCTTCTAGTGCCTTCTTATCTCCTTTTCCTATCCCCTGGGCTTTGCCTGGATAGAGCTGTTAGCAACTGCCTTGCTAGCAAGCCAATCAGACTCTAAGCTCTGCCCTCTGTCCCCTTGACTGAGGTGAGTTATAAATGACTCGCAGGGCTTTTGAAGCCCAGAGCTTCTCAGTTGCAACTCCTTGGAGCAGGCAGCTCTCTGCCTCCTGTCACTTTGTGCAGCTCACTCACCTGCCAGGATCAGCCCATTGCGGCTCTCCTCCTGAGCGAAGGTAAGCCCTGCTCCAACACAATTGGATTCTTTGTTCAGTTTGGGCATAGGGAGGGAGGAGAGGGAGAGTTGCTTGCCAAACCATTGGGTGTGAATTTCAATATTATAAGACCTAAGGTGCCTCTTTTTTTTAAAAAAAATTTTTTTTCTTCTTTTTGTGCAAAGCAAATTTACCAAGGAATTAGTTGGTAATGATTTATGAAGGAAAATATGGCAGGATGTATGTGAAATCATTATTATAAATAGTATCAAAGCCTTAGCGCTCCATGTTCAGACAAATTTGCACTGAGTTTATGAAAAAAAAAATTGCTGGATAACGGAGTCAATAGTCCAGAATTATGCAGTATACCCTCCAGTCAGTGGAGATTTCAAACTTCAGCCAGTGAATCTTTTTAATTAGATTTTAGTACCCAGCAATTCAAAGAGCAGGTCCAAAGAACTTACAGACTAAATACTGAAGAGAGGAGATTGTCAGAAAATTATGCAAGAAAAAAGAAGCAATGGCATACAGTGAAAGATATATGAACAAAAGAAGGATGATGATCAGGTCAGACAGTTTTCCTGCTATCCTTCAAAACGTTGCACTACAGTTCCCATCTGGAGCAGCCAGCAAGCTCAGTATACTGAGTGATGATGAATGACAATTATAATTCAACATACCTAGTAAGCACTAAATAAGGAAGATAAAAGGTAGCTATGTTTCATTTTTTCTTGTGGAAAAAAAAGGACACAAATTTCCACCTAGCTCAAGAAGAGTAATGAAAAGTAATGAAAAACAGTGCTGTGGTGGTAATTTGTGCCAGATTGACATTTTAAAAGTCAGAATGCTATTGTCTTATTTGCTTCTATCCAAGAGTCAAAAATTTGACATTTGAAAGAAAGAGATCAGTTTCTGGGCTCCAGACATGCAAAAGATGTTACCAGAGAGGAATCAGGTGTGGTTATGCCCTCTTTCCCTGGGTTTCTAGGCCAGTCTTCACAAAATCACTCACATTGTTTCAGAGCAAGGAAAGGATACATATCACTAACATGAGATCTATAAACACACACACACACACACACACACACACACAGAGAGATAACCTGTATCCAATTATTTGTGTTCGCTTGAACCTAGAAACACAGAAAAAGAAACTGAATCCCATTTTTTTTTTGTTCTCCTGAACCTTCCTTTGAACAACTATAGCTACTGCAAGAACAGAGAGAGATGGAAGAGAGAGACTCTGAATACTTCCCTGTCTATGGAAGCATTTGAAAATGGCACCTGTGCTCCAATCTGGGATTCTGGTGCAGGAGAAAGGAGAGGATTTAATCCTCCCCACATTTATCTCTCTCTCTCTCTCTCTCTCTCTCTCTCTCTCTCTCTCTCTCTCTCCCTCCCTCCCTCTCCCTCTCCCTCTCCCTCCCTCCCTCCCTCCCTCTCTGTCACACACACACACCTTTGCCCATGTATAAAAAATGTCAGAAAAATATAACCTTTGCACAAACTATGAGATGTACACCACAAACACTATCCAGTGTATATACATTTTAATTTGATTTATCCTGAGCTAATATTCTCTGATGGATTTGGATGACTGTTATTGAAACAGCTGTCCAGATCACAACTTTTCAACTTACAATTCTGGATCTGATAAGCAGAAATCAGATTTGTGCTGTGACATCACCAGGGGACCATTAATCATGTAAAGAGAAGGGTTTAAATAAACATAATCTGAAGCCAGACTAAAGCAGTTACATTTTACAATTTAAATCACTAATAATATATACTTTAAGACAGTATATTCTTTTTTCCTATTTGGAAAAACAGGCTCCACTAAATTAAACTGAGCCTTGAGAACAGGTTATACTAAATTAATTGAGCCTCAAGAACAGGTTCTACTAAACTAATTGAAAAATTATGTTAAACTAACTTAAAAGTTTACAGAAAGTAGAAAAAGAAAGGCCATAATAACTGTTTAAGATTCACTCTCATACTTACATACAAAAGTAAATTCCATTAATCTCAGAATTTACTTTTATGTTTTGTGCACAACATGTAGACCATGTGCTACTTCATATTTTAAACAAACATTAAAATACTTGTAGCTTACAATTGCTAGAAAGATAAATATTTTAAACCTTTTAATTAATTAAAGAAAGCATTTACACTGAGTGATACTATTAGAATTTATGCCTAGCAAGGCACATTCAAATGTATTGCCTAAATGCTTAATAAGTTTTTCACGGAATAGAGAGATGCTCTTAGAAAATGAAGTGTGATGCTAGAGATTCTGGGGTTTATAGTCCCAACACTTCCAGAGAGTCCTGGAAGTTGAGAAGCTGCCTCAGGGATCAGTTCCCAAAGGGAAAGCTTTCCTACTTTCAGAAGCCTTCGCTTCTGGAGGAACAATGAAGGTGATATGAAAATATTTGTTCTTTTCAGTGCCTGGTTCTCTAACAGAACTTGGGGAGGTAAAGAGGGTGTGCCTTAGAGAGCTTTCTACAGGCACCTGGCTGAAAGTGTTCTCAGGTTTTTGTTGAATACTACAGTCTGCAAACTTTCTAATGTTATAATACTTTACATTGGGCATTCATTTTTCAAAGGGGTACTAACAGTATTTATAGCAAATAAAACATATGGCTGGCCAACTGGTGGTCCTCAATGGAATTACATCTACATTGAGGGAAGTGTGCAACGGGGTACCCTCAAGGTTCTGTCTTAGGCTCAATGCTTTTCAACATCTTCATCAATGTTCTAGATGAGGGGATAGAAAGGGAACTCATCAAATTTGCAGATAACACCAAGCTAGGGGGAATAACTAACACTTCAAATGATAGACTCAAGATTCAGAAACACCTTGATAGAGTTGAATACCAGGCCCTAGTCAACAAAATATAATTCAGTGGTGAGAAAACTAAGGTCCTACACTTAGGCAAGAAAAACCAAATGCAGATATGGAATAGGTGGTACCTGGCTCAATAGTAGCAACTGTGAGAGAGATGTAGGTGTCCTGGTAGACCACCACTTAAGTATGAGCCAGCAATGTGCTGCAGCTGCCAAAAAAGTCCTAGGCTACATCAACAGAGGGATAATTTCAAGATCATGTGAACTGATAGTACTGCTTTATGCTGTACTGGTGAGACCACACTTGGAATACTGCATACAATTCTGATCACCATGATACAAAAAATAAGTTGAGATGCTGGAATTGCTTATCTGTTCCCTATGACTATCATTAAGTGTTGTACTTTATGATTCTTGATGAATGTATCTTTTCTTTTATGTACACTGAGAGCGTATGCACCAAGACAAATTCCTTGTGTGTCCAATCACACTTGGCCAATAAAGAATTGAATTGAATTGAATTGAATTGAATTGAATTCTATTCTATTCTATTCTATTCTATTCTATTCTATTCTATTCTATTCTAGAAAGAGAGTAGAGAAGAGCAACAAAAATGATAAGGGGTCTGGAACCTAAACTATATGATGAATGATTGAGGGAACTAGGTATGTCTAGTCCAACAAAGAGAAGGACTAGAGATGATATGTGATATGATAGTAATCTCCCAGTACTTGAGGACTATCACAGAGAAGAGGGACTCAACTTATGCTCCAAAGCATTTGACAACAGGACAAGAAATAACAAGTGGTATATCATTAAAGAGAGAACCAACCTAGAACTAAGGACAAATTTCCTGGCAGTGAGAACAATTAATCAGTGGGATGGCTTGCCTTCAGAAGTTCTGGGTGCTCCATCATTGAAGGTTTTCAAGAAGAGACTGGACAGCCATTTCTCCAGAATAGTCTCCTTCTACAGGCAGGAGGCTTTAGTGGAAGACCTCCAAGGCCCCTTCAACCATATTGTTCTATGTTCTATTTAGTAAGGGGTAATAACAAGTTCAGGAAAAACTGTCTATTTTGCCTCCTTCATTTAAGCTTGTAGTCCTATATACTCCACAAGAAAAAAACCAATGGGAATCTTTTGGTTGCAAATAATGTTTGTGCTCTAAAAGGGATTTTCTCTGTCTGTCTGAAAGAAGTGGGGAGAGAAGTATGTCTCATCTTTTAACCAACCTATGACTTCTGCAAGCCAAGACCCATTGGCACATCATAAAGTGACCAGTCATAAGATTTCAGAGATGTAGATCAATCCTTTCCCAATTGCATTAGTCGCCAATCTTTGATTGCAAGAAAGCAGGATGCAGGTCATGTCTATACAAGAGTGCAAAGAATGTAGCCAGAAGCATATTTACAGCAAGCCATGGCTATCTTCTCTGGGTAATTCCGGAGATTAATAGTCTGCATCCTTCACTCAAAGACATACAACAATAGCATTCTGAGAATGAGCAGCGCTTGCATCAAAAATGCAATGTTGCTTTCATTATTTGCTCCCGCAATGAACACCTCTGAAAGTAGATTGATCAATGGATTCTTCTGCTTGCTTCTATATCTTCCTTTCTTTCACACTATGCTTCTTATTTTTCTTTCTTTTCATCCCCGTCTATCTCTGCCACATCCTTTGGCCCCAGCACGTCTTTGTTCATATTCTTTATTTTGCTTCAGTCCCAACATATTGGATTTTAAAAAGAAAGCTTCATGTCCCCAAGGAAGATATCATCTAAATCATTGTTTTTCTAACTTGGCAAATGCATAGACTTCAAATCCTAGAACTTTCCAGCTAGCCTGCTGGCTAGAAAATTCTGGGAGCTGACATCTTTAAGTTGACAAGTTAGAAAAACACTGATATAAATGGAACTATAAATGTCAAAGGACTTGGATTTTATCTAGATCAAGACCATGTTGTCCAGTGCTGATCCAGATTTCAAACAACTTAACATGAACTGTTTAACTAAACTTGAAGTGAAAAGAAGAGAAGATACAACAATATAGAAGGAAAAAGAAGACATGGAGACAAAAGTGTGCAAAAAAAAAAAAAAAATTGAGCCCATCAAGTTTTTAAAGATATTCTTCCTCAGAAAAGAACAGATGAACAATTTCATCTGGTGGAACAAATAT